CCCACTGGCAGTCCCAATTAAGCAGGATATTAAAAGGACTATATACTATAACCAAATGAAATTTATTTCTCAAATTTAAGAATGGCTCAACACATATTTTTTCATTTTTAATATGGTATTTATTATTTTTATTTTATATGTATGTATAATTGCACCTGTGTTATGCAATGCCTGCAGAGGACAGAAGAGGATATCAGAGTCCCTAGGGCAGGAGTTATGGACGGTTATTAGTTGTCTTGTGGGTGCTGGGATTCAAACCTGGGTCTTCTGTAAGAATAGCCAGTGCTCTTAACCACTGAGCCATCTATCCAGCCCTAACACAAAATTTAAGCAATGTAATTCAATACTTTAACAGAATGAATACTTTAACCACATAATCATTTCAACTGATAACAGAAAAATCATCTGATGAAACAGTAAAATTTAATGTAATAAGATATAATTAAAACATACAAATTAAGAACTAAAAGAAACATCACACAGAACATCTTATCCAATGGGAAAGACAAAGCTTTTCTTCTAAGATTAGAAACAAGAATAACTCCTTTTGCCATTATTATTCAACAGTACTAGAAGGTTTTAGTCCAGAGCAATTAAGCAAGAAAAGGAACTACAGGAAGTAAAATTATCTGTTTATAGACAAAAACAAAATAAAACCTGTAAGAAGTAATAAATAAGAGCTGGAGAGATGGCTCAGCATTAAGAACACTGGCTGCTCTTGCAGAGGACAGGGTCCAGCACCCACATGGCAGCTAACAACCTTCCCTTACTCCAGTTCCAGGGGATCCAATGACCTCTTCTGGTCTCCTTGGGCATTGTATGATATAGGTCCACTTATATACATGTAGGCTTAACACTTAAACATGCAAAATAAATTTAAAAATTTTTTAAAGCACTGATAAATTCAACAAAGTAGCATTTCTATACACAAATAATAAACCATCTGAAAAGAAAATTACAAAAACAATTGTATTTTTTGATAACATTAAAAGAATAAAATACTTAGGAATTAAATAGGTTAAAGTCTTGAACAATGAGAACTAGAAAACCTCACTGAAAGAAGTTAAAGAAGAAATAGAACTATAACCCATGTTCCTGTTCACAGACTTCTTGTCAAGATACCCAGGCTAACCAAAGCAATATATAGATTCCATGTAATCTCTATCAAAATCTCAGTATTTTAACACAGAAATAGAAAATATCCATATTAAAATAATACAGATTCAAGCTGGGTATGGTGGTTTACACATGTAATCTCAGAACTAGAGGGTGAGACAGAAAGGGAGGGTTGACATGACTTGAAGATCTGCCTGAGTTACACAATGAGGTTCAGCCCTAGCAATAACCAGAGAGACTGTCATAGAGCAAAAATGACTGCACCATGCATCATGGCTAAAAAAACGAAGGAAGACCAGTTAAGGTCCCACAATCCGTTGGGGGAACACTCCTGATGACCTCAGATCTTCCCACAAGGCCCCACTCTAAAAGTTCCACCACCTCCCAATAACAAGACCCAGTCTTTAACAGATGGTCTTTAGAAGGACACTTATGCAAACCACGGCAGCATACAATGGGATATTATGTCTTAAAAGGAAGGAAATTCTTTAACACACTGCAAGGAGGTTTTGCCTTTTTTGGGGGGGTGGAGGGTGTCTTCAGAGTTACAAACTGAGCTGTGTCCAGGGCCCTTCTACTGTTTCCAAATTAAAGGCTGAAGTCATAGTTAGAAGGTGGGAGGTCATGAATGTAGACAGAGTAGCATAACTGAACATGGGGCTGTGAAAATTCTGCCATTATAAAAGCTTCCTAAACATACAATAACTAAAAATTCAAAACCAAATGCATAATAAATATGAGGCTTTTCTGGCAGGGCTTGCATGCAACTTCACTACAGTCTTGGTTCTGAACAACTCACAGTTGCACTATACATCATGCAGGCCACCACAGCATCCAACACCAAAGGAACACTGCCTCAAACACTCTAAAAGAAATTCAAGACTGTTGTATATTATAAACTGCAGCACTTTTACTATATTTACAAAGCTTTATGCTTACAAAAATACAATGGTTCCATTACAGAAAACAAAGACTTTCAGTATTTTCCTATTATTCCTCAGTATGTAAAGTATCAAATTGGTTTGTCTTTTGGATTGTATTGTGTGTGTATGATTTTTAAAATTGCTGCTTTTGAGCTGCTAACTTGAATTTCATTTTTAAAATTATTAAATGAATTTTGGCTTAAGAAAAGGACAGAATTTCCAATAATTTCTGAAATGGGTATAAACATACTTAAATTTGTGGGAAGCACGTTCTCAGCATTTACAATTAGAAAATTAAAACAGTGATCAACTTAGAAAAATGTTGATGACCTATGTTCTGCAATATCAGATTTAATACCAAGATTAAATGCTTTATGTAAAAATAAGCACTGCCATTTCATTACTACACATATTGGTTTCATCTTTAGTGAATGGTAAAATTATATATACAAACATATATTCCAAAGAATTGTTTTAAAATATGTGTATGTCTTATTATCAATACATGTCTGATTTTATATCCATACAGAGGGGATGAATAAAAGTTTTGGGGGGGATAGAGGGAAATGGAGCATGGGCAAGGGTATAGCTTAGTTGGTAAAGTGTTTGCCTAACATGCATAAAGCTTTGGGTTTGATCCCTAGCACCCCACAAACTAGAAGGACTGATGCATACCTGTAATCCCAGCACTTAGGAAGAGACAGGAGGATCAAAAGTTCAGGGTCATCCTCTGCTACATAGTGCATTCAAGGCCAACCTGGGATACATGAAACTGTCTTAAAAAGAAAGCAGGGGATCACAAGTGGGAAAAGTTTAAGAAGCCCTAGTTTAAAGTCACAGACTATACCTTTTTAAAAATATTTTTATTGAATTTTTGTGTATTTCATACATAAACTAATCTTTATATCCCTTTCCCTCTTCAGCACCCTCCCATAGCCCCTCACACCCCCCCACGGGAGTTCATATATTCTGTCATTTGTATTAAGGTCTATTATGTAAAGTTAGTGTCCTGAGATGGCCCTCAGTGCAAGTTCGTACACCAGGA